GGCCGTTTTTTTTTTAGAAAACGTGTAACTAAAAATCGACGACACATTTCTGCATTTTCTCAACGCTGACAGGTGTGGCATGCATTTTACTTTCTTGGACAGTAAACTTGAAATGATAGAGTAACTACTTATATTGAAATTGTGACGCATCACAAAGGTCTGCAAAGCGGCCAAATTGCCCCACTAGCAGGGTTATTTGGCCGGGGGTGTGGGGCAATTTGGCCGGTGTTAGTTTGAGGCCATGATTTTTGTTATAGGCGAGTCAGCTTCACATTCAGCAATGACGCGTGTCTTACGACGCACTTGAAGCATTTTGGAGGTTGACTCAGCCGTCACAGGGGTCGAAAATAGTCAAAATAACAGCTCTAGATGCGATGACAGTTTTTACGAATAGCTTTTGAAGTAATCAAGCTAGGCCAAAACTAAAAGTACCATCGAAATTCTCTCGTCATTCCGCATCGAAACATGTATGTGTTGACCTCGAGAGGTCAAGGTCAAAGGTTGGCTTCAGGTCACGTTACCTCAGGTCGCTTGACCTCAAGGTTACGTGAGTTCAAGGTCATCATGTATATCATTCGATGCGCCTTGACGGGCTGGACACAATGATACCATTTGCGCGGCTGTATCTTTTTTTCTGTAAGTATTTATTAGCAAAAAGCGTTAGGTAACCTTTGATGACGTCACGATGCCCTTACAGCTGTCCAATAGGAAATATGGCATCAGCCATCAAGGTAGTCAAAGTTGGTCATGAACTATGTCCTTTATGGTATAATTGACCATGACAACTCGGCCGTCCCAGCATAGTGACTCTGAGCGCACCGGCCAAGTCGCCCCGCTAGTCCCGGCCAAATAACCCCACATTGCCATTCTGATTTTTTTTTGTCTTTAAAGTCGTCATGGCTGTACAGAACTAGATGCAATTGCTCTTGGAACCGCTGAACACCCTCAAAAATGGCGCTATAATGTTGGAATTTGTTTACAGCCCAAATACTACATGTTATACAAATTTTTAAACGGAAGTAAAAGTTACCATTTTCTAACGAAATTCACCTTTTATTAATTTTGAATAAAACTAAGAGGGGGAAAGTTTCGACATTTGTTCTCGAGTTAGTTCTGCCGACGACAAATGAATAGAGACTAAAGTTATTTCATTCACTTTTATCAGCTTTCGTACAGGTGGGGGCGGCCAATTTACACCGCCGGCCAAATTACCCCACTCTCCCCTACGCTTACGAACGAATCTGTCCATATGTGGTAGGTATCTGTGTTATTATGCGTGTGCGACACAACAGTGAAAAAGACGGCAGCATTGGAACGCATGGATCAGTGAAATCATTGATTTAGTTGGTATGTGGGCTACGAAAGTCCAAACTTTAGCAGCGGCTTAACTACGTATTTCTAATGGCATCAATGCATTTTGTAAGACAGAGATGACAGCAGGCTGCTCAAAACTGTCACTGAATTTGAGCAAAGCCGACGCCGAATGCCTTTTTGTCTCCTTGCCTGGCTGTGTGCTTGTCTGTCTGTGTGTTTGTCTCTCCGCCTTCTGTTTCTATATCTTCCTCTCCCTCTCTCTCTCTTTCTCTCTCTCTCTCTCTCTCTCTCTCTCTCTCTCTCTCTCTCTCTCTCTCTCTCTCTCTCTCTCTCTCTCTCTCTCTCTCTCTTTCTCTTTCTTTCTCTCTCTCTCTCTCTCTCTCTCTCTCTCTCTCTCTCTCTCTCTCTCTCTCTCTCCCTCTCTCTCCCTCTCTCCTCTCGAATGTGTGATCAGATATGTTGTAATCCAGCAGTCCTATTGTCCTCGTTTGAATTCTAAGTGGTGGCCACAAATCTTGTGGTTCGCCCACACGCCGACCACCGCAGAGTCGACAGACTGCTCCCAAGTGCCCTTGAAGTGCTCAGCGGTGCAGCCGCGCACATAGGCGGCTGAACGAGGAGGGCACCGGGGCATCGTGCCCCCCTTTGATTTTTGCATTTTAGCATTAGCCCTATGGGCTTTGCATGGAAAGAATGGGACCAAAAGTTGGCGATGCCCCCCCCCCCCTTAACCCGCGCCCCGTTGGGCTCTGCCGAGCAACGCGCCCCGTTGGGGGGGGGGCATTTTGCCCCCCCCCTAAGATCTCGAGAACCACGCAACCTAGCGACATGCGGCAAACGGTGTTGGATAGCCCTATCAGGGAACTACCTTGTGACCCAATTTTATTGACCCAGGTCAAACCGATGACGTCACAGGTCAGGTCAAAGGTCCAATTTTCACCGTTTACAGGCATTTCAAGAAATGCGTTGTAAAATCGAGTAAAATGCATTTCATTGAAAATCATCGATGGGGAAATGTTCTTCAAACACAAATTTTTCTATTTAAGGTCACTGATACCAGGTCAGGTCACAGAGGTCAGGTCACTGCGGGGTCACAATATGAAAGTGTCGTGTGATACATGTTTTATGGCCCATTTTACATGACAGATGCGATTATGTGGATCAGGCAGCCTTTGGGGCCAGTTTAGGTCACGTTTTGGTCAAGGTCAGGTCAAGGTCAGGTCAAGGTCAGGTCAAATTAGGTCAAATTTCAAAGCTAATATTTTTGCATGAAATGGGTATCGAATCGATGCAGCTCGTCACGGGAAGTTCAATGGTGGTCTTTGTTGTGCCGTAGGTGGTATAGAATCGCTAAAAATTGAGTTAAAAAATTTGACGTCATCATTTTTGAACAGTTTTTTCGCTATAACTTAGCCAAAAAACGAGATATCGACCCGAAATTTGGTATGTATATAGAAGAGTGCAGGGACTATCACATATATTCCGTTTTTTTCGAAATCCGGAAAATTTTGGATTTTTTTTAGTTTTTCTAAAAAATCAATTTTTGGAAATTTTTGGGGTCAAAAACCCAAAATTTTGAAAATCCGAGATAGCAGTTTTGTAGCACCGCCTTTTGTCTACTAGACCATATCATAAAATTTGAAATTGCTTGATAACTGTAGATTTGGTGAGCGTTTCAAGATTGCATGTTTTTTGCTCATTTTTGCTCGAACATGACCTCAGTTTGACCTCAATGACTCCTGACCTAAGGTGACCTAAGACTTGAAATTTGGTGTGAAGGTGTTAAATTGATGCCCGGGAAGGTACTGAAAATTTGGCGGCGCTGCGCGCTGCCGTTTTCTTGCTATTCAGGAAAAACCACAGGGGGGGGGGGGGGCCAAAATAGCCCCCCCCCAACGCGAACGGGGCGAGGGTTAATTGAAGGTGTTCCGCCGCTACTGGCCGCGCAGGCGATCTAGTTTCTGCCTCCTCAGTCAAAGTTTCTGCCTCCTCGTCAAACAAAACCAAGTCGTGATCATCTCAGGATAGGGGTATTATTGCCGAAAAACAGTAGCCCTGTGTCCAGTCAGCTGCGGTTGTGGATGACCCGCAGCTGTGATCGGTATGGACGTTACTGTGGTCGCACCCGACCCTACGAGTATACCCCTACGCAAATGGCAAGGCGCAGCCAAACACTGATATGTTGTACTACACACAGAAAATTTTTCTGTGTGTAGGTCCGTGAGGCACTTAAAAATAACTACCCGCTGTTTCCCTCTCTCCGAATTGCGTCATATGCATAGTGCATACACCTGGGTCCTTTCCGATTCTCGTGCCGACATTTTTAACGTCCAGTTTCGTTTTACCGTCACCCGTGTCACATTCGTGCTCTGTTACGTTTGATCATTTTTTTGCCCCGTATAACGGTCTGTGACGTTATCCGTGACGTCACGAGGCCGGGTCACGAGTATGAAGGAACCGCGTGGAATCCGACACGCTATGGCTAATTAATTGTGTCCGCACCGCAGACGCCGCCGACGCGCCAGAATCGGGTGAAAGTAACCGGCCCGCAGTGCTAAGAGCTCGAACACGTTCGAAAGTCTGTTTTAAACGCCATTGTTTAGAGTATAAGAGGGTAACTAAGTGGAAACGTGACCCGTCTAACGTTCGCTATGAAGCACGCACAAGCTGTTGCAGACAACTCCCGAAAGCAGGTTCTCGGCACTTAAAGGTTTCAGAATTATGCGTCTTTCCAACCAGCTATGATCCAAGTTCCTAACTGTAGCTAAGCAATAGCTTTGACACGAATAATGTGCACAAGCCTTCACTATCAAGCGAAGCGGCAATGTGTATGATGCAGTTCCGCATTATTTTTATTGTCATCTAGCATAAGGAAAATAAAACGGTCGCCGTTCGATTATGTCCATGCATGGCAGCAGCCGACGTTGCCACACACCTCTGATCCTGAGCGATCAGGAGAGGAGAGAGTGATCGGCTGGACGGCGACCGATCCTGTCACCGGAGTCGTGACCTACGGAAGGTGATCGGAGACCACTCGTGACCTGCCGGTCCCGGTGACGGCTTCCGTCCGCGCTGCCGCCCGTCACCCCTCCTCCCTTCCCACATAGGATGACTGGCGGCGAATGCATGCTGCCAGTCGGCAGTCTACATTCAAGAAAGACGACGAAACAAAATATGAAGTTCTTTAATGTTATAATGCCGAAATGTTTGTCAAACCAGTTATATTGTCCATCACATAGAACGTGAAACTAAAATAAAAATGGAGTTGAAATCAAAGGGAGTACCTAGGCTAAAACTTATTACTTGTTCTGGCACATAGAAGCAAAATTGACCCTGAAACCGACAAAAAGTCTCCACTCCGAAAGCATCATAATGCTCAATTAATTGAAGTATTGCAACACACCTACATTTGTGTTGAACGGGGATGCAAACAAAGCTCAGAGGCGAGTGGCTCAGTGCTATATCACCTTTCTATCAACACTGGCGAAACCTATGCAACAGTAATGTTTCCACACCATTGAAATTTCTTATCAAAACATCGCCGCTCATGATGCAAACAGCTCGTGAGGAAGATGCAATGACCGGTTTCTCACTCTTATCAATATCACTTCGTCCAGCCGTCACGGCTGTGTGACGTCACCAGGTCAGGTGTGACGTCATACCAGGCGACGGCGGCGCGCCGGTCGAGTCGGGTCGGTCGGCAGTGTGCGCCGCTGCGTGGCTGAGAGAGGTGGTGTGAAGGGGGCGGCCCGGCGCCAGCGCACGAGATACGCTCTGCATAGCTCCGAGGAACAGGTGGGTGATACCGCGGGACGGGTCGCCAAACTGTGACGAGTGCTGTTTCAATAGTGCACATGTGGCAAAGTCAATGGAGCTTAATTTTGACGAGTGATGACCCAGCAGTTAGGTAGTTTTTTTATTGCCTGATAGAATTATAACATGAGGTAGGTAGTCCTGTTAGATAGAACGCGACTAAAGGGTCTTCGTTAAATTTTATTTAATTGATATGCAGACCATCGCCATTAATGCTCATTTACGGTTAAGACTAATATTTAACAAACTGTTACGAGACTCGGCAAAATATCCCATATAAAACGAGCCGATCGGTTTCGTTTAATAGGGCCTTATTAGTCTAATAACTGCATTTCGGGGTCATTAGATGATGGGATGCTAGGAAAAGCAAATATTGGGCTGATTGCAGCGGAGGACTTACCTAATACCTATCCTAAGCAAATATATTAATCCCTGTCAAAAAATATGTCGAAAGAACACGGTGCCAAAGTTTGTGAATAAGACTGTTGTATTTCTCTTTATAATCTGCATATTTCAACAGGATATGACGAGTTTGTTTTACGAGCTATTCATAGAAAAGTCATCACTGGGGTCATAATGACTTTCCCGTAGTAGTCCAATATTTTCCTCTATATATATTGATTGCACACCCATGAGCTTTATTGTTCAGTTCACAACGCTGTTTAGTATATGCCTAATCAGCATGTCACTAACGAGCAAACATACACGCACCCTGATATACGACAAAGCCCGCATTCATATAGACTTTGTGTTGTTCTTCCTGCTAATTGTTATCGAGCTCTGCGCTATCACACGCCCAAGCGTACAATCAACGGTGAACTACATATTTAACGTAATCAAAAAGCACTCGGTACTTCACTTGCTTTTTTTGTAAGGGATCAGTTCAGTCGCCTCCTTTTTTCATGTCAAGCTAGGTCAGGTCATGTCAGAGCGACTTCAGATCGCTAAACGTTTTCGACAGATGCCCAATGTCAGGGAACATGTGCGCGGATGGTCATACAGCGAAAAAGAAGAGAGAGAGAGAGAGAGAGAGAGAGAGAGAGAGAGAGAGAGAGAGAGAGAGAGAGAGAGAGAGAGAGAGAGAGAGAGAGAGAGAGAGAGAGAGAGAGAGAGAGAGAGAGAGAGAGAAATTGAGTAGAGACGAGATGCATCGATATGTCACCGTTTATCACAACATATATCAAAGAAGATGCTTGTTATTGCAAACTGCAACCTACCATCTTCGCAAATACCTCCCAATAATTCAATCGCAATTCGCATAACTTTAATGGGTCTTTTATCGCCCGACGCACCTCTATCCAACTGCAAATCCCATAAATAAATCGCTTTAAGCGCTTCGCTTTGACAGCATGTTTTGACAACAAATACACACAGAAAAATATTGACACCGTTAGCGGTGTAATTACACAGTACGTATCTGAGCACTTGAGGAAAGTTAATTTAGTCCCTTCCCCGCTTAAATTACTCGCGCTTCTAAATGAACACCAGGAAGAAGGTAATAGAACACTGTTAGGAGGGTTGGGTGTTTTGCTACATGTAGTAAAACACCCAACCCTCCTAACAGTGTTCTATTACCTTCTTCCTGGTGTTCATTTAGAAGCGCGAGTAATTTAAGCGGGGAAGGGACTAAATTAACTTTCCTCAAGTGCTCAGATATGTACTGTGCAATTACACCGCTAACGGTGTCAATATTTTTCTGTGTGTACAAAACGTGCTGTCAGATGTAGACCCGAGGTTGTCCGGTGCATCTTCGGCGCCGTGTTTGGGTTTCCAACTAACTGTCCTGGTTAGGAAGTGTCAGCGGGTGGCGTCCATCCGGACTGAATGGTCGGAGGATCGTGCCTTTGGATGGCGTGTCTTGATGTGGGATGGGGGGAGGGGGAGGGGACGGTCGAATGTCGGACTGCGCGGTGGTGGATCGAGTGTCTCCAGTCCGCGTGTCTCGGTTAGAGGGTGGTCAGCGGCGTCACGTGTGTCCGGCTAGTGTTTCTCGTATTGTCAGGTGTGTCCGGCTAGTGTTTCTCATATTGTCAGGTGTGTCCGGCTAGTGTTTCTCATATTGTCAGGTGTGTCCGGCTACTGTTTCTCATATTGTCAGGTGTGTCCGGCTAGTGTTTCTCATATTGTCAGGTGTGTCCGGCTAGTGTTTCTCATATTGTCAGGTGTGTCCGGCTAGTGTTTTTCATACTGTCAGGTGTGTCCGGCTAGTGTTTCTCATATTGTCAGGTGTGTCCGGCTAGTGTTTCTCATATTGTCAGATGTGTCCGGCTAGTGTTTCTCATATTGTCAGGTGTGTCCGGCTAGTGTTTCTCATATTGTCAGGTGTGTCCGGTTAGTGTTTCTGCATATTGTCAGGTGTGTCCGGCTAGTGTTTCTCATATTGTCAGGTGTGTCCGGCTAGTGTTTCTCATATTGTCAGGTGTGTCCGGCTAGTGTTTCTCATATTGTCAGGTGTGTCCGGCTAGTGTTCCTCATGTCTCATTCGGAATGCTTGATGACAGAGCGATTGAAGGATGTGTCTTGAGCAGACACGTAAGTGGACACGGACATATGGGATAATGAGAGGAATATATCCAGAAACACTTGGCAACCATTGTAATCCTGCGAAAAAATCGCATATTTTTGTCTCGGAATGGCGCTTGCCGACCTTTCATCCTGTCGCCGTGTGAGTATCGAATTGTAAGACGTTGCGTTTCGGCTAGAAGATCGTGCCTATCGGGCCTGCGTATGTCGGTGTATCGGTATCGTTCTTCGCCCCCCAGCGGCACACAGCACGCTCGACATTCATCCGAGACGCGCCCTGGGCGCCAGACACGCGTGTGCGTGGCTCGGGCCGGGTGAGAGTTGTCGGCTCGACACCTGCGCCCTACCGCGAGCCGCTCGGTACCCGCACCGCCTCCCGACCGCAGATGTGCCGCGTATGGTAATCTACAGCCGAGAGCTTTGTGCGGCTCTCCATAATACATTTCTTCAGTGAATTAACACCAATTCGTACAGTCTGACCGTATTTCTGTGGTGTCCTATTGCGTAGGTTTATTGAACTTTCCACTGCTCTTCATAGAATCTGAATACCTACCCGCATTTTACTGCAAATGCTCACCATCCGGTCGGTCGAAAAATCCCAGTAGCCTCCGTAGTTTGAACCAATGAGGAACTCTTTAACTCTGAATCGTGCAGTACAACCTCTGCTCAAGCCTTCCTTAGTGTTCCCAGACACGATGCTCTGCACTCATCAGAAACGTCTCCGGCCTTCTCTTCCTACCGGTACCGCGGCACCCTCGGGCGCATTTCCAGCTGACAGCCGAGGTGCAGCGATGCACCAGTACCGACAGCTGCCTCCCAGGAGCGGGGGGGGGGACGGAAGAGGCCCTCCCTGCCGTCTCGGCGAGGCGCGCCAGGCTGTGGGTCAGGGTCAGGCAGTTGCTGGGGTTTACGACACGTAGCGAGCTGCAGACAGAGCTTTGTGCCGGGTCCCAGAGGTGCTGCATGGTTGGTGCAGCATGCGGATACGAGTCACTGCCGGGCGAGGTAAATGCTAGGCGCATCCGACTGAAATACCTATCGCATAGTTCTTGATTCGGCTACTTCACAGTTCCGAACAAAAACCTGCATGTTCAGAGTTTGCATAGCACAGTGATCTACATAGCTCACAACATTGCCTGATTATGTTTTTATAATTTATCATAGCGTCGTCTTTGCTCACAATGCGCTGATTGGGGAATGTATGTTCAGGAAGGCAATATGTGCCGTTGCATAGCAGGGGTGCGTTATAGTGTCTGCTGCTCACAGTCCCGAACAGATTAGAGCTGTGGGTCAAGGTTGGACACGCTGTGTTGACCCCAAGCCTAGTACCGAGCGTGGGGTTTGTGGCGCTGGCGGGCGATAAAAGGTGCCGACCTTATGTTACCCGCTGCAGCATATATCTTTACGTACACATATGGTATACAAAGTAATTTAAACAAAATAAGTCCAAATCTCGAGCCGATTCCGTATGTACATCAACGAGAATGTCGAGGGTGTGCGATCAATGGCGATAAGTACCTACAAGGTGATATTCGCACAATGAAGCATATCGCATTCCAAAGCTGGAAGAATGTTTTGCGGTTTGAACTGCACTACCACATTTATCCCAATTTACCTCAATGCCTTTTACTCTAGTCTGGACTGTCGTTTATTTCTGAGAGCTGCCAGGAATTCGTACCGAGTATGATTAGCATTTAGCATACGTGGTGCACGTGGGCGCGACGCGACAAGGGGAGGGTGTCTGCCGGCACTATAACCAGTTCTCCCGTGTCGCGAGGTCACTCATCGACTGTGAACGTGAGTGAGGTCATCTGCGTGTGATGATCGGCCTGTGTGGACTTGGAGGACTCTCACCTTAGGGTGCAGGTCCGCGAGAGTATTACACAGAAGCATAATCTGTTAATAACCTGGCATTGGCTTTAAATCGATGTACTGTGAGCTGTGACATTTGGACATGTGAGTCTGTGACCAAGAGCTGCAGATGCAGTTGAGGGCGCCTATGGCTGATGCAGTCCGCCCCTGAAACCCAAGCATCATCATCATCATCATCACTCAGATTCGACCTTGCCTCTCCTCATGTAGGAGTAGCTGTATGCCACTGGTAGGCGAAATTGGTTCCATGTTGTGCCCTGGCTGGCCTGTGCGTGTCACTCTGAAGGGCACCCGATGATGGTGTGCCGAGGCTGGGCCCCACACACGGGGCTGCTCGGCGTGGGTAGCGATATTGCTCGGTTGCTCGGCCTGGGCACCACTACGTGCCATTGTTTGGGGGTGTCGTGACGCAGCCACTGCAAACGGAATTTGACGGAAATTTGAACAGTTCGTATTCCTTCGTGATTAATATTGCTTTGCCCTTACTTACTAAGCAAACTATAAAGAACTGAACTTCGCCTGTAGGGAAAAGATCGATCACCAAAACCATTATTACCAGAAGACACCAGCCGAATCTCAAGACGCCGACATAATAACACGACTGGGATAAAAACTCCTTGATGGCAGACAGAGGCGTTTAGAATTATTTCATGCACGGTGACACTGGCCCGCCCGCCGCCGCCGGCGCGTGGACCGCAGCGGGCGGCCCGGCGCGTGCATGACGGCCGAGAGCGTGACTCGAGCGGCGTGACGTGACGGCACGTAACGCCGGCGGGAGCTGGGCCAATCAGCCGCCGGTGGAGCTGGAGGGGAGGGAGGAGGAGGGATGGAGGAGGGAAGGAGGAGGGACGGGCTGAGGGATGGGGGGAAGGGGTGAATGCTTGTCAGGAGGGACGGGGATGATACATAAGAGAATGGATGTTACATAGAGGGACGACGGAAGGACACTACGAGAAGTCATGTGTAGGTGGAGATTGGCAAGAGAGGAGGAACGAGTCTGAGAAATAACAGCTAACAGATGGCAGATATCAGCTCCTAAGTGTATTGGGTCCTACCAACACTTCTCAGACAATAATAACCGCCCTCGACGCCTCGGTAGACACTTTGTCGGCGCGATCAGTCCGGCCAGCGCTCCATCAGGCGCGCCCACTGTTTGGTGATTGTGTAAAACTGGTGGCGAAATGCCGTGAAATTCGCTCAGACGGCGGCGTTCCCAGCGTAATCAGTGGCCAGACGACGGCGGCGGGTCGGAGTAGAGTAACGGGCGGCTCCGGTCTACAGTTGGGGCAGACGGGAGGGTAGCACGGAACCGTGATTGTTCTGTTTTCACGGCGCCTGGTGCCCGTGATCGCTACGTTTTGCGGTGCTGATGCCGTATCAGCACACTAAAAACATCGAATTCGACTGCACCCCTCTCCACCCCTTCCTCAATAGACTTTTCTGATTCCCTCACCACCCTCGCCACAGAGTTACACGAGCCTCATCTATAATGCATGAGGTTACACACATGCCCACACACGGACAAAGACACAACTTCACAAACAAACACTTCAACTCAGCCGCCGGGCCCCCAGCCAGGCTGACGCCTATTGTGCAAATCCTTAGAGCGTGCACATACGTCCCGTGCACACACGCACTTGCACAAGGAACGGGCTCCCATACCGTCACGAGAGCGGCTTGGAAAGGGACGGAGCGCGGCTCAGCTCGGTGACCCGTACTGGAGCCGGTCGGGGTCACACAGACCTGGGCGGGCCCACCGACCTCGTTTCACCGACAGTGTGTCTGAGACCGAGCGTCAGACCTCTGACCCGCGCTGCCACCGCTTCCCAACGGGATTCCTTAGAAACTCAGTTTTGGGTTATTAGGTATAAGAACAAATTTACTAGCTTGGAATAATCATAAAAGACTTGGCTTAGTTATTTGCTTGCTTACTAAGACAACTATCGTGCCTCCAAGACCTGAACTCAGACTGAGAAAACCAGCACGTTCATGTTATCACGGCGCCAGCTAAATTTAAGAGAAAAAACGTTTATGCTTTCTAGCAAACTTCCCAAATATACCTAAGTTACCAATAGGTCCTACAACTCGAGTTCAATTTTTCATGAGCTGTGACACAGCCAGCGCACAGTCGTCTCTATCCATAGTAGTCTGCCGACGAATTATTCTGTCCGCAGTAGACCATGCCATTGACACCTATCTCTCTGTCCCACAGACCGCTGAGGACCGCCGCTCGGCCGGTGATGCCTGCGGCCGCCGTCTGACGTCATGTCCACGCAGCTGGCGCCGGCGGCGGCGACCCTGCCGAGACAGGAGCGCGCCGCCGCGCTGCATCGAACCCGACGCGGCCGCTCTGTCGACGCGCCGGAGCCGACGCTGGTGCGCCGCGAACAGCCGCCCGCCAGCGCCGACGAGCTCGAGCGACAGGCACAGCAGATCATCCGAGAGTTGGACTCAGTGCGGTGTGACGTGCGCACGACGCCCTATCCGGTCAACAACGGGCTGAGGAAGGAACCTGTGCGACGTACCGTCTCCGGGCAGAGCACCGGATCAGGGTTCAGCTCTCTGGACCGAGTGGCGCTGAAGGCGCTCAAGAACAACAAGAACGGAGTGAAGTCGCGGAGTACTAACACCCTGCCGACGGCGCCGCAGAAGGCGAAGGTGGTTGACTCGGATCATGTGAAGAACAACCTCATCAAGGCGGAGAGTCTGAAGCGGGGCAAGGCTGGACAGTTCGCTAGTAAGAAGGTAGGAGACTTGGCGAAACCTATTGGTGGTTCGACGCAGCATCTCAACAACGTGAACCTGCTCAAGGACGAGGCGATGGGCGGACGTCACCGGCGTGGGTCAGAATCCGGCCTCGTGAACGGCATCCACCACCACGGCAACAAGGTGTTCAGCAAGCACTTCGACGATGAGGACATCGATCCACCTCGCACCCTGCACCACCCGATAAAGCGGCTGTCGTCTTCAGACAGGGACTCCTACCCTCGCGTGGTCGACTCATCCAGTCAAACCCCCTCCGGTTTCAGCCCAGTTCCCGGCGGAGGTGATGTCATCTACACGCAGGTGATCACCGGGCCGGAGCGGGCTCGCCCGGAGGTGCCTCCTCGGCCCGAGCGGCAGCCCGTCGAGCCGTACCGACCGCGCGGATTCAGCTATATCGGCCGTCGCGACGCCGATCTCATCGAGAGAGCTCAGACTGTCGAGGACCGCAGTCGCTACATTATCGAGAAGATCGCTCGCCAGCGCTCCCGCTCACCGGCCTACAAGTCGGGCTGGACGTCGCAGCGCGTGTCGGGGTCCATGTCACCGCCGCCGCCGGTCCTGCCGCCCGGAGAGACCGGAGAGGTGCGACGGGGTCGCTATGGCTCCAGCATCGTCCAGATCGGCGGTGAGGAAGCGCCTCCGCCGCGACCGCCCCCGCCCGTCGAGCCGCCGCACTACACAACACCTCGCAACAGTAGCAGCGGCGGCAGCGGTGGCAGTGGAGGACAGCAGCACTACAGCGTGCCGAGGAAGTTCTCCAGTAACGTGATTCGGCTCTCGGTGAGCGGCAGCCACACGTCTAGTGGGGACGGCTCGCCCACCGAGCGGCGCCGTAGTCAGAGCCACGAGGCTACCCCTCCACCGGCGCTGCACGCTCCCCGCAGCAGGAGCAGCTCCCCAGAGCGGTACTTCTACGGCGAGCGCCGGCCCGCGGAGCCGAGACCGGTCACACGTGTCACTGAGAAGCGCCAAGCTCCACGCCGACCCTCTCGCGAGCCTTCAGCCGAGCGGCACCGCCAGCATAACAGCCAGATCTCGCGCAAGGTCAACGGTCATGTGACCCGAGAGGTCAGCGGAGGTCGTGACGGCGCTCGGCCCGGGGACGCGACCACCCTGGAGAGACAGCGGAGGCGAGAACAACGCGCCGAGAGAGGCGGCGATCGCTCCGACCGCGAGCGCTCCTCAGAATCACCTAACCGCCAGGGAGACAACAAGAAACGAATCAAGATTAAATTCATCTACGATGCTACTCGGGATGAACCCTCGGACGCGCGTCTGGCCCGATACACTGAGTACCGCGGCAGCGACGAGGCCGACTCGGCGAGCCCGACGCCGGACACCCGGAGTCGTCACGATGTTGTTCAGATCGCCATCCAGGACGGCCACCGGCTGAAGCAGGAGAAGATGCTGCGGCAGCGGGACAAGTTCCTGGCCCACTTCTTGGAGAGCGGCAGGCCAGAGCCGTCCGAGCGGCGAGACGGTCGCCGGATATCTCCGCCACATCAGAGCTACGATAAGGACCTGCACGTGAGTACCGCGGAAAGAGAGCACTCTTGGAATGTTTTAGAATAGTAGCAGAGAAAAGACGATTTTTGTCGGTTTATGCATGTATGACAACATTAGAATGCTCCCCAGACAGAAACAATTTTACATGGATTAATGAAGCACTTCGTTTCATTTTTGGAAAACATTTCTACCGTTTGTCTTAAGATGTGTGATATTCTAACGAGTGAAACCCGCATTTCTGTCATGATTCCTTACAGCTACACATTATTCTTGATTTCCCATTGTTTTCTAATATTTTAACGGGACTTGTCACCAATTAATAAACGATCTATTCTCCCACGGCATGCCAGCAGTTTAGGAGAAAGTCTGACGCTTTCTGATCAACTCGATCGAACCGGTTACTCGACCGGTCGACCTCTCTGAATTCCAGCCCTGCCCCAATCTATGAACCGCCTCACCTAGTGCGTCTCCGACCCAAAAACACTCGCACTAGGCCGAGAACGCATCGGAGAGCGCTCAGCGCCCGCTCTAGCCGACAACAAAAACAGCGCCACCATTGTGCGCGGCGACCCTGCGGTCAGAATGTGACCTCGCCGGCCTGACCCGGTCACCAGGGACGGTAGGTCAGCCGGATTGTCGGCGCAATGGGAGCACCGCAGTCCGGGAGTTGAAAGACAATGGTTTCTAGTGAGAGAGGTCGGCGGCGAAGACACTATACAGTGGCGTCAGACAAACGGAAACGGTCATTGAAAAGCCACCGAAGGCGGCAGGCAGGCCACTGTAAAGCGCTTAAGAAAGGTTCCATTACTGTATGTGGTTCGGTGCTGCAGGCCACTGAGGCGCTTTCTCGGTGCTTATTGCTCATTGTGCACAGAGTGGTCATATTACCCTTGTGGACTATTTCCGTTTTAAAGCCTTTCTTTTACTGGTGGCGAGTCGCTGTCGGTTTCGGAACGGGTCTTGCTGGTGGGTTCTTCGCTGATCATTCTCTGACGTCTTCTAGCAGCCACAAAGGAGGTTTAGTGATTAGCACACCTCTGCACAACACAAAGAAAGAGGAATGCACTACGCAAGGTAGAGGCGAGGAGGAGGGAGCAAAACACTGCGCAAGATGTAGTGAATGTAGAGAGACATCTAGGAACGAATAAAGCTGAGTCCCGTGTGGGTGGCACAGGCGAGCCTAATTGCGACTATCACCAGCGCTGT